CACTAAGTTAATCTATAACAGGTAAGTTTAGTTAGATATTCACTTGTGCGTCATCCAGCAGATCCAACACATCCCTGCAGAGGGGGAGATTATGATGGGCATCATACTCTCGTGCAAGAGTACGACGCATAACCCACCTACAGGCTAGAGGGAGTTGCGGAATTTCTACATTAGCCGGTAGCTGTGGTAGAGGTGGCTGAAACTGCAGAAATCGCTCTCAGGCAACCTAACATACAAAGTTGACGTAAATTATAAGATTAACTATAACTAAGTAGAATTGTAAATAATGGACATATTATTTGAATATATTGTCACTTATAGAAGCGGCAGAAAGTCACAAAAGTCTCTCTGTGTGCCGATGCAAGCCCGGCACATCTTCCTGTACAGGTATGAGATGACAGCACCATCCCAACTGTAGATGGCTGTATCCTCGAACCGGGCAATATGATGCAAAAAACGGAGGCTCACTAGGTTCTCCGAAGTGTTCGGGAACAAGACCCCCCAAATAGAAGGAGCAACAGCAGCCTCGTATATCGCTGTACATCCACCTCCGCTGACTCGTCGGTGATAGTATGGTGGATCTGCACCAGGTGGTCTCTAATGGAGACCAAATGTATACGACTGGACCCAGACGCTACCTCCTCGTCCTCCGGCATGAAACCCGTAAGCATGTGCAGCATATCCCAATATGCCTGCCACGAATAATATCTCATGATCGCAGGCAGTAAAACTGGCAAGCCATCAGCGGACAAGCCATATAAAATCTCAGTGTCCTGCAGTGTGATGGTGGCCTCGCCGATTGGCAAATGGAAAGTGTGTGTCTCCGGTCGCCAGCGCTCAATCAAGGTCGTGATCAAAACATAGTCGAGCTGTATCCGGCCAATCATAATAATCCTATATAATCCCATTTCCTCTAGATAATGGACCACGCAGGGATGCCGAACGCGGGGAGGACTCAAAAACTCCCACAATAATTCTACTCTCCTAGCCCGGAAAGTCTGCGTAAGCAACTGTCCGTCCCATATATACTCGGATCTATGTTGGGGCTGTAGGACTAATAGATCCAACGTCCGAGGGCCGGGATGTGTAGTCGCGTCCATGTCGTCAACTGTAAACTATCATTAAACTATCATTAATAATTATGTGTTTTTTATTATAATTTAAATTCNTCATAAATGTGTCGTCCACCCTGGACCGATCATCCCTCTCATAATGTAAAACATGCCATGCAGGCGGAGTCGGTATAGGCTGCGGCAGGCCAAACTGGCGAAATACCCGCTCGGAGGCATGATGCTCGACAATATCGAGGCATATGAGCGGCACAGAATCCCTCCAAATATGTCGGCCAAACGTGCAATACGCTGGCAGGGTGCCTATCACCTCATCACTATACGACGTCCAGATGAACTATCAAATAAGAACACAAAAAGTTAGTATGTGCAACACTAAGTTAATCTATAACAGGTAAGTTTAGTTAGATATTCACTTGTGCGTCATCCAGCAGATCCAACACATCCCTGCAGAGGGGGAGATTATGATGGGCATCATACTCTCGTGCAAGAGTACGACGCATAACCCACCTACAGGCTAGAGGGAGTTGCGGAATTTCTACATTAGCC